CCCCCCCCCCCCCTTCCTTCTAGAACCACCACCATACTGCTCTTGTCCCCATTTACACTGGCTGTGATAGGCCTTTTAGGCCACTCATTAATTCACTTATTCAACAGCCATTTACAGAGTTCAACTGTGTGCCAGTCTCTAGAAGGGCTTGGAGAGATGGCTGGAAATGGAAAAGCCATGGTTGGTGATTGACCGTGTGTGTGTACACATGAGTGTATGTTTGTGTTAGGGAAGGGGGCCAACAGTTCCCATTTCCAGGTTGAATTCACACTTACCTAGGTGCTGAGGGAGCAGAGAGAACAAGAGAAAAGTTTTGGAAACAGGCACTGGTGCGCAGAGCAGTCAGAAGAGAGGTCAGAGCCACCTTAATATTCACCATGCTCTGACACCTACAGCACCATAATCTCTGTCCCTAATTCAGCCCTCAAGCATGTACCTCCTGGTATGTTTTAGCAGTTTCACATGTGTCTCCCCGTGGTCTATGAGAGGAGACAGTGAGTTCCCTGAAGCTCATAATCCAGGGAGAGAGACAGACGAGTAAACAAATGACTACAGCACGAAGTGCTTAGTGCACAGGGAGGTGCTTATGAAGAGCTGTGGGAGCAAAGGAGGGAGTGGGCATTTCTGCAGGGAGGGGTGGGGCTGAGAAGGCTGGACAAAGGAGGTGATGTGTCAGCTGGGCCTGGAAGTTGAGTAACTGTTGTTAGAAGGCGCAGACAGCATTCCAGGCCGAAGGAATAGCATAAGCTGGTCAGGGAACCTAGAAGATTCCTGTGTTGATAGAGTGTTCACCCAAAGGTCTCCAAAGCAAACCCCAAGTCTTTATGCTTCATTCCATCTCCACTTCTCTCATAGAGTCCCCATCATATCTCACTGGGTCTAACTGGCCTCCTACTTCCTCTCTTGCTAATCTACACTTGGATTTCACAAGGCAGCCAGAATGATCTTGTAAAAACATAAATCAGATCATGTCCCCTTTCTGCTTCAAACCATCCAATGACTTTCTACCACACTTGGGATCAAATCCAAACTCCTTCAACGTGGTCTACAGACTCTTGTGATCTGACCCCTGCCTCCCTCCTGAAGTGACCTCATGCTACTCAGCCCTTCACCCACCATGGCCACCCACACGGACCTTGCTGCTGTTTCTAGAACATGCCAAGCTCATTCCTCCCCTCAGCCCTTTGCCCTGGCTGTTCCCCCTGCCAGGAGCACTCCTCCCCCTATTCTTCACCTGCCTGGCTCCACCTAGTCATACAGGTTTGCTGCAAGCCCTGTCGGGTGCCACCCAACAGTTTTCTGCCTTCTTTCTTGCTAACATAGCTTGAGTTTTATTCAAGAGCAATGGCCTGCCCCTGCCCCAACCCTTGGGAGTAAATCTGGACTTGTCTAATCCAATCGTGGTAAAACAGGACATTGATAGGGGCTTTTTCTATGGTTTTGGCTCTTTGACCAAAGACTCAAGCTGAGAATGATAGTTGACAGAGTTGCCCTACATTCTAAAGAGAGCCCCATGGAGCTGTAAACCCCCTCTTTTGACTCCCAAATAACAAAGCTAGTCTCTCACCCCGCCACCCTAACCAGTCTATATAAAGACAAAACCAGAAATCTGAATTTTTTGGAAGTGGAGAGAAGTGGTTGGAGTAGGCAGACATTGGAGGCAAGTCTGCTAAGAGAATGGACATTCACTTCCCCATGTTGAGTGAGAGACTCCAAGAGAGCCCTGTAGTGACTGGTGCTTCAAGAAGGGGAACCTGGTCATCTCTCCTGGGCTAGACTCCCGCTGAACTACAGAACCTGGGCTACCACCAGAGTCCAGAGCCCAGGGAGAGTCATGGAGTGAGAGTGGTACATACTCTCATCATGGCAGGAGAGAGCAGCTGCAAGGTGCCCCCCTTTCCCAGTTTGGTAGGGCTAGGAGTGTGCATTTCCTCTGGGACAAGTGGCCATTCTGGAGGGGAGCAGGTCTCAAGTCATCTGTGAGGTTCCCCATCCAAAAGGGCGCCTGCCTGTGGGAGGGACCCAGAAAGTAGACGCTGTGGGCTGTCTGCAGAAGCTGTGGGGAGCTTCTTCTGAGGTCAGCCAAAAAGAACTGCCCTCAGCAGAAACCTGGGCTCTGCAGGGTCCACCCAGAGCCTACAAAGAGACCATACGCGGGCCCCTGAGACAGCCAGGGTGTGAGTGCCTGTGTCACACAGAGGAATTACATCAGTATTGGTGACTTCAGACTTTTGTCCCTTTTCCTCTAATTCTTCTAATCCCCTTTCTGACATCAGAAGAACCAGAGGGGAAGAAAGTGGAGAAAAAAGTGAAGGACTGGCCTTGCCCCCTTCTCCATTACAGGACCCCCACCAGGGGTCAGACCTGAGCTGAGGCGGTGGTGGTGGGGCAGCTTGAGTAGGAACTGAGATTGAAATTTTGATATAGACGGAATTGGATCTTTTAAACCTAATAATAGTCCTAATTACTGAAGCAGGACTAGGTCTTCTAAATGAAAGTAACCAGAAAGCTCAGGGTCCACGTGAAAGATCAGCAGTGACAGAACAAGTCTGAATATGGTGGTGAGAGAAAAGGCAGTTTCCTGTTGGTCTCCCACAGAGGTGAGTTCCTTCAGCTCTGGTGGGGACCAGCCCCGCGCTCCTTGCCCGGGACAGGTTTAGGAAAGGGCATGTGCTGCAGCACTGAGCAAGCGCGTGAGGGGAAGCCGGCTGGAGGATTGCAGGAAAGTTTTCATTGTTCTTAAAAGAGACAACAGATGGAATGCTCTGGTCTTTTGACATTGTCATATGAATATGTGATGTCCGGAGTTGCTGCTGTCACTTCATGACCTGAGGAGGAGTGGTTGACAGGCCAAAGATGGAAGAGACAAAAGGTGAGAGGAAGCGGGGTCCTTGGTGGGTTTACTGAGCTGTTCAATTATCCAAACTCCAAATCGCACTCTAGCTTGAAACTTACTATATGAGACGATAAACTTTTTCTGTGGTTAAACCCCTTTTAGGTGGGCTTTCTGTTCTTACAGACCAACACCTCCTGGTATTCAAATGTCACCTTCTCTGAGAAGCCTTCCCTGACCACTCAAGCTAGGGTGGCTCCCCAGCCCCTTTCCGTCGTATTCCCCTGGTTCACTTTTTTTCATACCGCTTGTAACTATCAGAAATGCTCTTGCTTATTTCTTGTTCATTTAACGTCTAACTCTCGCCACTAGAATGTAAACTCCAAAGGAGCTGAGTGCTTGTCAGTCTTGGTCATTGCTGAATTCTCAGCAGGCGCGCAGTTAGTGCCGCATGAGTGAATTGAATTTATCAAGAGGATGCGGGAAACAAGGGCAGAGAGGGAGAAGAGAAGGGGATTAGGGTGGGCTGTGGGGTTTGGACTGCATCATGTGGGTAATAGGGAGTCATCTGATTGGAGAGACCCTAAAGGGGAAGGACTGTGTCTTCTTCCACAGACTGGGGCCTCTTCTCTCTGGATCTCCCCTCAGAGCCCAAAGACAAGGCTGAGGCCACATTGGGGTACAGAAGAAACAAACTCAGACTCCTTCCTGGGGACCCAAGACTAGGCCCTGTTCCACAGGCCCCTTGGATGTCCGTCCTCAGCCCAGCACTAACCCACCAAGCCGTATAATATCATCATCTTCTGATCTTCATAGATGTTCATGGGGTTCACCAGGAGCTGAAAGAGACCTAAGGGGACAGGGTCAAGCCAAAGATCAAAAGATGGGTCCCACCCCTAACCTCTGTTCCACACTCACCTATGGCCAGGAGTCCCCCGGTGCCTGCCCCCAGCAGGACAGCAGTGAGGGGAAACTCTCCTGGCTGGCGCCATAGGAATCGCCACACGAATCGGTGACAGCACTTGGGCAGTCCCCAGCTCAGGAGCCTCAGCACCGCTGAGGGGTCAAAGAGTTTAGCTCATCAGAGCCACGACCTTGTCTTCTGGCCAAGATTGTGGTTCATTAGGGTTAGGGGTTTGCAGGGGGGTAGAGGCTGGGGGAGCCCAGGTGAGGGTGGCAGAAACTTGAGGGATCTGAAGGAAGTGGGACAGACATGAGGGAAAGAAGAAGGGCTCCTCTAAAGGAGGGCACTGATGAGAGGGGCGGGGACCCCAAAGCACGGGGAGGGGTCTTGGAGGAGAGAGGGGGGCGAGAGGATTGGGGGCTGGAGGAGCTAGGAAGGGCGGTGCCCTGAAGATGGGTGACGGACTCACTGGTGTGGGGCTGTCTGTTCCTTTGTCTTTTTGCTCTGTGCTGGTGATCGCTGGTGTCCATGGTCTGCTCTGAGGGGCCCACTCTCCCCTCAGAAGTCTCCTCAAGGATGTTCTGGGACACGAGGCTCTGCTTCCGCCTCCTCGGCCTCACCCACAAGCTGTCTGCGGTCTGTGTCTTCCAGTCCCCCCTCTGCTCTGAGATGCGGGGGTGGAGATTAGAGATTTACCTGTCCCTTCCCCAAGTGGGGAAGGAATTCCAAATACACATAGTAAGAGCCCCCGGAACCTAGAACACGGGGAGAAATTCTAGGACTCTCCTCGGGCCACAGAACCTGGTGGGCGTCTCCTGGAGACAGGTGGACGTTTGGTCTCAGCAGCCATGCCCAAAGCCAGGAAGGATGTTGTGCGCCCCTCGGGGGCAGAGGAGTCGAGCATGATGCGGATGGTGGTCCGAAGTGTGGGGGGCTTCAGCCTGGGCTTGTCCTTGGCCACGGCCTACGGGCTCCTGGAGCTGCTGGTGGAAGGGCGCAGCCCCTGGGGCTGCCTGGTGGGCACTCTGACTTTAGCTGCCTTCCTCTGCCTGGGCATGGGATTCTCTCGTAAGGTCCGAGTCACTGTCCTCCTGCTGCTGCCTCAGGCCTTCTCCAGTGAGTGTGGCACCCATTGGGGGGGCAGGTCATGGGACAAAGACTGAGGCAGGTGGGATCTTGGAGGGGAGGGGAGGAGAGAAATACTCTGAAGGCTTCTGTAAAGGACTTGGATGTGCTGCCATGTGCAAGGCTGGGGTCCTGATTCTGATGGAGCTACCCCCCCCCCC